GCCGCGGCCTCGCCGCTGTGGGGGGGGTGAGGCGGGAGCGGCGCCTTCCCTCACGGGGTGCTCGGTGCTGCCGGGAGGAGGGAGAGGACGGGAGGGGGGGTATCGATTGTGGTGGCTGTGGGCAGCGCTCGATGGCTGTGGTGCTCCGGTGCAACTTTCCGAGCCCCGGATAAAGAATTGGAACGGGCGTGTACCTCGCCTTGTTGCTGTCGCGCTCCAGTTTAATTAATTTAATGGTTTAATTTCGGCTTTCCCACTTCGCGTTTGGGTGCCTTGCGCTCCTTTGCATCAGCTTCCGTAGCGACCTCTATTTGTGTACTTTTTTAGCAGCCTGCCTCGTCCTTTGTGGGCACGGGTGCTGTGCCAGGGAGCTGAAGGATGCTGGCCTTACAGCACCAGGAGCAAAACTGAGATAAGAGAGAAACGGCTGCGCTAAATTGCGGAGCCACTCTTGGAAGCTTTTTGTTAACACTGAGAAGAATTGTTTTTACTTCCTGCTGCTTATCTAGGGAGGCACTGGGGTTGCTGTTATAAGCTGCACCAGTAGAAATGTGAGGATTGTTCGTTTAAAAACTTAATTGTTGTGACTTAACGTGTTATTGTGCGGCTGTAACTTGGTCCAGCTGCAGAGACACAAGTACATTGTTTCAAACTACCTTAAAGGTTAAAGTGAACAAATACTCTCGGTGGTTTGTCAGAGGGGTACAAATGTCACTTGTTAGTACAACTTACCTGGAGTATCGGTTTGGTTGTTGCACAGTAACGTATCTGAAGTGTGAAGGTGTGAGCTGAGCTGCTCCTGGCTCTGCGGGACCAGCCATCGTGAGGCTGTGCTGTCTTGAGTGGAACTTGGCATGTCACTCACGGGCTTGTGAGTGGCCTCGTTGCCCTTAAGAGCTTGCTAGAAAAACTTGAAGAAAGCTGGAGGAAAAACTTTCATATCATGAGGTAACTGTTTGAGTTGCATTGCAAAGCATCCTAAAGCAAATGCTGTGCAGAAGATGCATGTAAACATGGATTTCATCTAATCAGAAATTAATTAAAACTATTTCAGGCTTTTCTTTTTTACTGATAAGGTGAACCACTACATCTTTATCAGTTAAGATGTTCATTACAACTTTGTTGTGTTTGCTGTACTAAATTTAGTTTACTAACATCCAGGTACAGTGTATGACTATAAGGAATGTTATTTAGTATAACCCTTATATTCTTTTTCTTACTTCAAGATGAAAACTTCAGTAATGAGTAAACGTAAATTGAAGGAGAGCAGTGGGGTGAGTGGAGAATGCATTTCACAGGTTAGTAACATCTTTTTTAGCAGACTTTGTTTATAACCTATGAAACCTTTCCATCCTCTGGTATCTCTGTCATTCTGTAGTTTTTTTTCTAGATCTGTTAAAAGGGCACGTACGGATACTTGATTTAAATTCTAGGACTACAAATGGGTTTTGTATTTATACTCTGTATTTCTTACAGCTTCTCACCTGGTGTTTGCTTGCTTCAAGTGTTATAGCGATGATCTGCTTTTTGGAGTCAATTAAAATGGTAAAGGATGGTCTTGCGCTTTTACAGCCATTTGTGGCCTCGGATTTGCATAAATCTATTTTTATCTAGTCATATTCTTTATCTTCCTGCTTGTAGGGTGAATCAGCGTCTAGGTGACTTTTTTTAACAGCCTAGGCTAGGCAGGATAGCAGCTGCCAAATCCATTTTCAGTTTTTATTTTAAGCTTTATTCTTCTGTTTTCTCAAAGTGGCTACTTCAAAACTGTGATTCATCTTGTAGTGAATTATCTCTGGTTCAGTGATTTCTTATATTTTAATATCTTTCCTTCATTTACCTATAAAATCCCTCTATAGGAGGAAAACCTTTTTGCTTGTGAATTAACAATGGTGATTGTTGAGACAGATTATGCATTAAAGCAGAATAAATCTGGAAGTTAAATCATTAACAAGTTAGTAGAAGAAAATGTAACTGAAAAGTCAAGTAGAAAAGTACAGCTCATTAAAAAAGAACTCCTTTTAAAGTGGAATTATTAGCAAAATAGATTTCTCTTGTTCCTCTATCCATTATTTAGACTTGCTGAGGAGTACTTCAAAAGATGCATCCACCTGTGTTTATTTTTAAACTAAAACCCACTGAGAGCTGATGGTGATAATTCCATCATAAATTATAAATTAGCTAAGTGTTAGAAGAAGACCTATTTTCATGATACTAAAAGCCTGTTAGTGATGTACCCCGGGACAGTGACTGGTCAGCTAAACTAGGCATGAACGAGTAACTGCTACATTTGCAGTACAGTATTGCCTTAGTGGAGGCTTACCTGGGATAGAACACCATACTTTCTCCTGGTTTCTTAGGATTCAGGAGAAATGAAGAAGGACTCAGTTAAGAGATGCAACTGAAAAATGTGGAGAAAAGTCATATGGGGAGGGGAATAAAATCCAACTTGGATTAAGAGAAGGGAAAAGCAGTGACACAGACGTGCACGGTAATGGTATAGCTACTTTTTAGATCAAATGGACGTTCACTTAGACCAAAAGGCATGGTGCTCAAATGTGATTTTTAAAGGAAAATCACTTGATGGACAGTTTATGATTTAATCTCTGCGATTCTTAGACAATGAGCACTTAAATTGGACACCAAGCATCATAAAAGGATGGAGTATGCAGGTGTTTTAGGAGGGGTTAAATGAGAGATTTAGAGTCCTGTAAATTCTTAATAGTTGGGTTTGTCCAGTTTGCATGCTGCTGGTCAAGTGGTGCTGCAGGTTGGTTGTTTTGGAATTGAAAATACAGTTTTAAGTATCAGTTCTCAACGTGGAAGCTGGTAGTCAGTGCTGATGTATATCTTAAGATATCCAAAATAATAATTAAAATAGTTGTATCTACTATGCAGTTTGAAGGATTTCAGGACATCTAAGAATCAAGCTGGATAGACTTCATTCTATCCTTTGTAAGCAATAAATTAGCTTCAGTTTTGTACAACTTCCTGCCCCCCCCCCCCCTTCTGAATTAAATCTTCAAAGAAATTACATTTGATAGTTACTAATGTTAGCAGGTGGTAGGCTGCAACCTTATTGTGGTGCAGAAAGTGTATTCACTGAGGATTTGGGGAAAACACTAAGTGGTTAAGCTTTATTTAAGTCAGCTGGTTAATGTTTTCTTGCCTGTATTACACAAGAAGTCAGAACTATGAATTAGATGAACTACTGACCTAATTTTGGTGACAAGTATAACATCCCTTCGGGGGTGAAGGAAAGAAGCTGTAGCAGAAGGGACCAAAGATGTATATCACTATAATTGAACTGAATTTTCTCTTTTCTGCTACAAAAGTCTGTTAAATATTCTGCCTACTACAACTTCATTCTTATTTTTAAGACCCCTGTATCGTTGGTGACAATTAAAATTTACACATTACAGAATATTTGTAACACCACTGAAACGTGAATAGTTTACTATTATAAGCATTCTTTCTGTCTTGTGTTATATCTGTAGGTGCAAAAAATTTTACGTGAAAGATTCTGTCACCATTATGCTCCTGGAAAACTGTTTGGGATGGACCATCAGTACAGGTGAGTGAGCTGATTCGAATACTAAGTAATTTCTACTCGAATACTAAGTAATTTCTATTTTGACTGCAGCAGAAGGATAATCAGGTGAAGTCAGAATTTTTGCTACCTCTGTTTTTCTAAATTATACAAGCTTAAATGACTTGGTGGTACCCTTCTAACAGTTGTTTGCCTCAGATTTAAGAGGTCTTTATACAGCTGTTGTTTGCTGCTTTGCCAGGCTCTGAGTTTTGGATTTCTTGTCCTTGTTTCAAATCTGTAGTTCCTGGAACACTTTTTCTGAGCCTGAAGGGTACTTTTACTGGTTATGCTAAGGCTATGTTTAATGACCTGACCAAGCAAAAATTAAATCCTTGTGTTGTGAATCTTTATTTTTACTTCAGTTTTTCCCCTGTTTCCTGGTAAGCTGTGTTAAAAAGAAATCTTAAGCCTTGGGTGCCAACATCATGTTTTTTGAAGTAGAGACCCATATTTAACACAAACCTACTTCTTGGGGTCATCCGGATGTGGAGGTTAAAGTTAGGAAGAAGGGACTTGTTGTCACAGTAGTACTATCCTGATACTAATCCTTTCACACGTGCAGGTCAGATTCTGAAAATAACAAATGTGTCTCTAAAGAACTTGTTTTGAACAGTCAGTTTTTCTAAGAGTAGCTTTATGCAAGTGGAATCACCTGATGTGAGCGTTAGTTTTCTTTCCATTACAAGAAGGAAAATAACATTTCTGTTATAAAAAAAGTGTAGGGCAATATATGTGCAGAGCCTAGACATGTTTACTGTTGTCAGAAAATGTATTTCTGTGGTGTTAGTGTTCTACAAAACAAGCCTCCCCTCTTTATATTTGAATTCCAAAAAAGAGTTTACAGTCTGTCTTCTACTTAATATGCCACTGTTGGTGAGGTATACTGTAGATAAAACACGGTGAACTTCCCAGCTCTTATTTTTCTTTCCCAAGATGTGTCAGGGCTTGTGGCTATAGTTAGCTCTCAAATAGTGACCAGAATCACATGCATTTGCTACAGCTGTTCCGTGATGACTTGTCACTCCTTGAAAAGCAATATTAAATTTTTTTTTTTTTAAAAAAAGGCATATTAAATGTATGCATTTGTAAACGTCTGGGAACTGGAAGTGTTGGTAGTGTTTAGAAGCACTTTAAATGTGGTACAAGGCGCTAAGTCTGAAGATAATTTAGAGTTGTTCTTTGTTCCTTCTTTTTGGTGGGAATAGAATATGAACTCGAAGTTCAGGATTGCTGTTAGGCACTCAAAGCTTGTGAATTCTACATTTAGCATTTAATCAGTTTTATGAAAACTGTTAATATAAATCTATTCGACTAGATTATTAATTTTTACTGGTGTCAAGGTTTTCCTTCAATGTGTTTGCCAGCCTTTTTCATGAATTACAGTGGTATCACAGAGAGCAATCTTTTATTTTTTTAAGGAAATAATTATTGAAGTCTGTCATTTCATTAGGCAGAATTGTAGAACTTTATGAATTAGTGATACTCCTGACTTCTGTTTTAATATTTTAAACTGTTCTAAGAGAACTGATCACTCAGCCAGTATTACATGTTGCATGCCCAGAGTGTTGGCTCTGAGAGCAAACTGAAATGTATCAAATTTTCTCTTCTAAAGATTCTTTGACTTTTCCATAGTTTCAGTGAATGTTGTCTGGTTTGAAGTTTTTAACCTATTGCTGTTGTCAATACAGACATCTGCTGGAACTGCTGAAACGAAGCACGGTTCATGGAGAAAGTAATTCTGCCCTCGTTATTGGACCCCGAGGATCGGGAAAGACTGCGGTATAAACATGTAGTAAAATTTTAAACGAGGTCAAATTAAGCATGAGGTAGATAAACTCACTGAAGTCCTGGGAGTTTTTGGAGCTAAATTTTTGTGTCTGCCTATTTTTAAAGAGATAATTGCTAGTTGTTGACATATAATTTAAAAACATTCCAGGACTTCTTGAGTTAATTCGGTCGCATAACAGTATAGAGAAGTCAGTTTCCTAACGATCTTCTGAAATTTTTCAAATGCTGAGTTCCTAGTGAGTTTGTAACGTAGAATAGAATGTGCAGCTGACAAAAACCACCTACCTGTCCATCCTCACAGTGACTTGCAGGTGTATGCATCTGTTTGGAATTCTTTGTGTGTCTTCACCAGGTTTCATGACACGCTACAGATACCCAAAACCTGTAAAATGGAAATAATTTTATCAGAACAAGTGGCATTTGCTCTTCAGTGATCTGACTGCATTGTAGATTCTGCCTTCTTCCAGTGTCTCTCCTATTACAATTCTGTAGTGGCTTTTGCCTCACAGTTCATTTTTGCAATGAAACCACCTTTTGCTTACTCTTTGAGGGTTAACCTGCTATTGCTATCGGGCCTCCGCTCAAAAAATGACTGAAAAGGCATCCCAAAACTGTAAAAGTAGACTCTAGGGTGGATTTCTACATAGCTGTTTATAGGTAGAGAACGGTAAGGTATCTTAATCCTGTTGTAAACATATCAGAGAATATTTTCACCTAAATCGCCAGGAGTAGCTCTACTTTACAACTGCAGGTTTTGTATGTTAAAGCAACTCTTGTTAGTTGAGGCATGTGAAGGGATGATGTCTAAATTAAAGTGTTATATTCTTTAATATTATGCAAACACCTACATCTTTTACATTTACCCGAGTATGTGATAAATAGGTTGGCTGTTACTGCAAAAAGTAGTCAGGATTAAGAAATTACAAAAATTACTTCGGCAGTTTTCCTAAGTGCTAAAGAAGTGGTCTTCAGGCTTTTAAATTCAGATTAATAGAAAAAAATTAATAGATGGTAAACATATCCATGATACGGCCAACACCAATTGCTTTGCCACTTTGTTGACAGCTTTCTTGTTTTGCGTTCCAAAACCATTCACTGTTGTTACTTTCTTCTGTTACCCCCCATGCTTCAGAAGAAGGATAATTGCCAAAATACTGTGGTGTGGTGGGGGAAGAGTTGATAAACCAGTGAGTGACATCTAAGGGTTCCACCACTTGTGTACTTCCAGCCAGTCTCTAACAGGAGTTTATTTTTCCTTTATTAGATTTACAGGTTTGTAAGGAACCAACAAGCACTGTGATAGTGCAGAAAACAGGTTTTAGATTTTCTTGTATTTAAGGTACAACTGAGATTGTTTGATAAGGGGCTAGCCTGAGTGTGTGACATCTGCTTATGGGGCATAGACTTGAGAAACCAAGGGAATATGCTGGTTTAGTTCCAAGTATCCATATAGTAAGTGCTGCACCTGTAGTAGGAGTCTAACCAAATCTGCTTCTAAATACAGTATCAATAGAAAAGTATAGATGAGCTCAGTACTACAAGCAAACTGGAATGTGAACATTTTTTTTAAAAAACCCCAACAGAACAATCCCCCGAACACCATGTTGCCCCCCCCATCACCAAAACTCAAACTATTTTTATTATTGAAGCTTAAATTTTCTTCCAAACCTTTTACATAAGGATAGTGAAGATGAAAATTTGTGATTCTTCCTGCCAGAATATAAGCAAGCAAATCACCTGTGCAGCATGAATGATTTTCTTATTCTATAGCAAGTGAAAGATTCGAGTTCTTTAAAAAGCCTGCTGGAGACAAAAAATTGTATGTGTTACATACAATTATATAGGTATATATGTATGTATACATACACAGATGGGAGCTGTGAGCTCTCAGGGGAGGAAGGAAAAGCAAAGTAGCAGCAAGTGGATGGAAAGTTAACATTTCATCTGTTTATATGTATTTTAATACAAGTTCCTTATGGCTTTTACCAAGAACAAGTTCCTAATGGACTGTAAATTTGGGGCCCCTAAATTTTATAAGCAGTAATTGATGCAATTATGTGCAATTTAATTTTGTCTCATGCTTCTTCAAGAGGAAAAGAATATGCATAGTGTTTTTAAAGATTTAATGCAAATATATTTGTTCTACAGCAATTAAGTTGAATACTATATTAACTCAAGACAAATTCTCTCACATCTCAACTTCGTAAAGCTTTTTTTTGTTAAGGGAAAAGCCCTAGATATTATCCCCCAAAATGAATGACTAAAATACTGGGGTTATTTTTAAGTTTCTTTCCTTATTAATTCAGCAGAATGAAGAAATGTAATTGCTACAGTCATGACAGTGAATGTGAAGTTGTCATTTTAGTATTTTAGTCTGGAAAATACTCCAACATTGATACCTAATGAAACTGCACATACTGTTTCCTGTCTGATAACACCTATTTGTACACTTACTGTTAATACATTAATCTTCTTATACAGAAATTACATGTTTTTTCCCTAGTTATTAAATCGGGTTTTAAAAGAGATCAGAAAAATGAAACAAGTTAGAGAGAACCTCTTGGAAGTTCATCTGAATGGCAAGTAATACAGCACTATTCAAATGTTATGTTATATTTAGTTGCTCTGTATTGTATGTCCTGAACAAAACTTTTGGTTTCAGCAATTGTAATCCAGCCTCAATTATGGGGACTTTTGTCCGTGAGCTTCAAAAGTCTTTCTTGGTATCTCTCTATAGAAAGAACTTTTGTTATTTTAATTCTCAAAATGTTAAAAATCAGTTCAGTTGTGACCAGAGAGTTTTAAGTAACTTCTTATTACATATGGAAAATTACTGTCTAGTTTTACTTTATAAAAAGGCATAGCTTTGTAAGGCTGGAAATGGAGAGGAGCTTCTGGATAAGTTTCTAGTGGCTGTAGAGATGACCTGGAGGGGAGTAGAACTTCCAGTTGTTCATGAAAAATCTTTTTTTTTTTTTTTTTTTTT